ACAGAACCAGAACCAGAACCTCACGTTACAGATCCAGAACCAGAACCTCACGTTACAGATCCAGAACCAGAACCTCACGTTACAGAACCAGAACCTCACGTTACAGATCCAGAACCAGAACCTCACGTTACAGATCCAGAACCAGAACCTCACGTTACAGATCCAGAACCAGAACCTCACGTTACAGAACCAGAACCTCATGTTACAGAACCAGAACCAGAACCTCACGTTACAGAACCAGAACCTCATGTTACAGAACCAGAACCAGAACCTCACGTTACAGAACCAGAACCTCATGTTACAGACAGAACGAGCTGCGTCTTTAATTAAAACTAATTAAACTCTTAATTAGATTCAAGATGGCCGCCACATCTAACAACACTGAGAACACCTGGAGTGGTAGTAGCTGAGAGTCACCCCCCACACACTGACTCTGAGCTCAGAACCTGGGCCCACAGGCCCGCGGGTCAGATGTCCAAAGACCCAGACCTTCTGTTCAGGTGGTTCTGGATCAGTTCTACAGATCCGAAGGTCCATCAGGGTTTTCTTTGGACTGTGGGAGAGTTCTCTCTCAGTCTGGATCCRTGGACGCCACTTCCTGTCTGACGGCGGAGACAGGAAGTGGCGTCGGGGACACAGAGGACGCAGCAGGAACGTCTCCGCTCAGACTGGACAGAGTGCTTCTGAGACCTCAAATAAATTAAAACAAAAAACTCCTGAGAAAAACACACACACACACACACACACACACACACACACACACACACACACACACACACACACACCTGTTCACTGACTGATCAGGAGCTACAGGAAGCAGCTCCACGTCACAACTTTAACTTTGATTGAAACCAGCTGATCTGTTGGACTAAAGTCCTCAGCTGGGTCAGAACCACCAAGAACTGGACCAGAACCCACCAGCTGGGTCAGAACCACCAAGAACCGGACCAGAACCCACCAGCTGGGTCAGAACCACCAAGAACCGGACCAGAACCCACCAGCTGGGTCAGAACCACCAAGAACTGGACCAGAACCCTGGAAGACCAGCTCGTTCTGGCTGCTTCCAGCTTCTACTCTGATATGAAAAAAGAACCAGAACTAATCTGAAGATGTCTCTCTAAGATGTGGGAGGAGCTTAAGACGTCTCTAACATGTGGGAGGAGCTTAAGACGTCTCTAACATGTGGGAGGAGCTTAAGACGTCTCTAACATGTGGGAGGAGCTTGACACTTTTGTCATTTGACAAAACAAATTGTAAACAATCAATAAAACGAGGTTGATTAGAAGTTAAATCAGATTTAAAGACAGAACAGATGTTTGTGATGACATCACCACAGCAGTCGGAGGTCACATGACCAAACTGACCGCAGCTCAGTGTTTGATGAGTCAACACGAAGCGTGTGTGTGTGTGTGTGTGTGTGTGTGTGTGTGTGTTAGCGTTTAGATGGCAGCAGCTGAATCGAAGCATCTTCCTGCAGCGAGCAGACGGATGCGTGGCATCGTGATTGGTCGAAGGGGAGGAGCAAAGGGGAGGAGTGTATCAGGTGGAGGAAGGTCAAAGGTCATTTACAGTAAACTACAGATATATACACACACCCAAAATTGTACAGAGAACAAATATGTACATGCTCAGGGTTTCTATGTTTAACTATTACCAACAACTTCTCCCGTTAAACGTCTCCTCATCCTCCTCTGCAACAGGAAGTGCTCCTCCTCCTCTTCCTCACCTGTCTGTAGTGTAACGAGGACGGAGGCGGGGCTTGTAGGCCATCTGGACTCAAGTGTCACGTAAATTGTGGGGCTTTAGCTGTTTTTCAGCAGCGTTCTGTCGTCGGGGGGACAGGAGGACGGAGCAGCGACGGTGGTGGTGGTGGTGATGGCGGCTGAGGAAGAGGAGGTCGTAGACGAGGAGGAGGAGATGGTGGTGGTGGAGGATGAAGAGGAGGAGGAGGAGGGGAAGGAGAGCAGCTGCCCCGTCTCCGCAGACAGGAGGGAGCAGCAGCGGAGGTCGGCGGTCTGCAGGGCGGGGCAGAGTCTGAGCAGCAGGACGCTCTGCTCCGTCACCTTCACACAACCTGCAGCACAAACACAGTGATGAAGAGGAGGAGGAGGAGGAGCAGGAGGAGGAGGAGCAGCAGGACCACCCTTACCTGCCAGGTTCACGTAGGTGAGGCTCTCCTTCAGGGGGGAGGCGGGGGAGGTGAGCGTGTGCACCGTCTGGTCACTGATGTTCACACAGTGGCTCAGGTCCAGGCGGCTCAGGTGAGGCACGTAACGCACCAGGAGGCGGGACGACGCGTCTGTCAGGTCCAAACCGGCCAATCGCAGCTCCGTCACATTCTGGAACCGCCCCACTCTGCTCTCACCGTGAGCTGACGGACCAATCAGAGAGAAGAACCTCCAGAAATCCATCCAAACCATAAAGACCGATCTGAGGCTAAAGGAGGGGGTCTACCTGTCCGGGTGTCAGGTGGGGGGGCCAGCAGCTCCCTCAGGTGAGAGTCCTTCAGGTCCTCCACCCTGCTCAGGTCCAACACCTTCAGGCAGGGACAGACCGCCTGACACAGAGCCGAGACCGCCGGCCACGCACAGCCAGACACGTTCAGCTCCTGGAGACCTGAGGGGGGGCGGACAGGTGAGACAGACAGGTGAGACTCTCAGGTGAGATGCTCAGGTGAGATGCTCAGGTGAGGCATTCAGGTGAGAGACAGGTGAGACACTCAGGTGAGGCACACAGGTGAGACGCTCAGGTGAGGCGTTCAGGTGAGACAGACAGGTGAGACACTCAGATGAGACAGACAGGTGAGACAGACAGGTGAGACACTCAGGTGAGGCACACAGGTGAGACGCTCAGGTGAGGCGTTCAGGTGAGACAGACAGGTGAGACACTCAGATGAGACAGACAGGTGAGACACTCAGGTGAGATGCTCAGGTGAGGCATTCAGGTGAGAGACAGGTGAGACGCTCAGGTGAGAGACAGGTGAGACGCTCAGGTGAGACAGACAGGTGAGGCGTTCAGGTGAGACAGACAGGTGAGACACTCAGATGAGACAGACAGGTGAGACAGACAGGTGAGACACTCAGATGAGACAGACAGGTGAGACACTCAGGTGAGATGCTCAGGTGTGACTCTCCGGGCAGGTAAACAGGAAGCGGTGGTCTCACCTGGGAGCCGGTTGATGAGCCACATCAGCTGTTTCTTGGAGATGTTGGTGCAGCCCAGGTTCAGGGAGACGGGCTGCCGGCGGATGATGCCGCTCAGCATGGGGGGGGTGATGGAGCGCTGCCGGCTCAGGTCGATCTGAGTCCACAGACGTTTATCACAACACCTGGACGAGGACAAACAGGAAGTGAGACGCATCACCTGTTCTGGTTGTTACCATCTGTCAATCATTTCAGCTGAAGAKTCCCTGACCTTTAACCCCTCCCATCCTGTTTTCTTACTTCCTGTTTCTCTCTTTTCTTYGTCTTCACCTGCCCTTCTCCCCATCTTCATCTCTATCCCCCTCTTCCTCACCTCGTTTGATTTTTAATTAACTTTATTAAACAAGTTCTGACTGAACTTTTCCTACTTCCTGTCCTGAAGCTCCGCCCCCCCCATCAGAACGTGCTGTGTGTGAGCGTGCACGTGACTGACCAGCGGCTCCAGGTGCGACACACCCTCATGCAGACGCACAGCTCCCGTTGGCTCAGGTAGGTGAAGACTCGCAGCCACACGTCACGAGTCATGATGTGGGCGGAGCCACAGTCCAGGGGCAGGCAGCTGGGCTCGGGGCAGGTGGGAGGGGGCCGCACCAGGTGTCTCTCCATCTGAATGGGCCTGGGGGGCGAGGGCACGGCGGGCGGGCTGCGCTTCATCATGTGAGAGCGCGGGGCGAGGCGGGAGGGCTGAGAGCAGGGGGACGCCGCCATGGCTGACATCATGAGGCCGCTGCCCACACCCCCTCCCCCGTTGGAGGTGGGGAGGGAGGGGGAGGAGGACACACTGTTCCTTGACGTCTGGTTCTTGTTGTTGTTACGGATCTTGTTCATGCGGCTCCCGCCACCTTTGGCCCCGCCCCCTCCACTGTGCCTGTGATTGGTCAGAGCTCCGCTGGCGTTCTCCTTCTCCCCTCCCCCCGCCCCTCCCCGAGTCCGCCCATTGCGCGCCTCCTGCCCGTTGCTGCGCTGCTTCCCTGTGAAGCCGTCGTGTTGCGAGGATGGAGGCATCTGATTGGAGGACAGGGGTGAGGGAGGAGGGAGGGAGGTGGAGTTCTTCCTGGTCCTGTCTGAAGTGGGCGTGTCCTCCTCCTCCGTGTCCATCAAACCTACTTTCCGTCCACGTGAGAGTGCGTCTCCTCCTCCTCGCCGTCGACCTTTGTCCCCTCCTCCCCCGACCTGCTCCTCCTCCCTCTCC